CTCATCATCATATCCCTTACTCTGCCAATCCAAGAGCCAATGCAGTAATTCTGCCAATGGCTGGGGATATCTATTTCAGATATATAATTAGGGAAATAAATAGGTTTGGAGATTCGCAGTGCCTATTGTGAAGTCATTCTAGTCAAACTCCATTTATTACCTGACCCACCTTAATTCCCACTCTGACGAGTCAAGCCCAGTGAAGTTCTGGGTCCTCAGGAATTAATATTAGCTCATAGCCATTGCCCAGTTATCACCAGAAGGTCTGAGTATTAATCTTTTCCATGTGAATAGTTAGCCTGCAGATGGCCTCAGGTCCCTCTGCGGAGGGCTGGGCAGAATCTCAGTACATCCCTGTCGTGTTATTGCAGCACCACTTCTTGGGAGTATCCCTCCAGCTTCCACTTCTTCTAAGGGTCTGAGTCAGTGACTGACTTGGGCTTAGGAATCGGGTCAGGGACTGTGCTGTCAATCATGGTGGCTGAAGTCAGACTTCTGTTGACCAGATCTGAAGTTTTTTTGAGGGATAGAAATCAAATAGAAGCTTAGTGGGTGGGCTGCTCATATATTTTGGTCTTAGAGACTCCGAGATCAATTAGCCTCATCAACCTTGGATATTGGCACTGGGGGAGTCAGAGAGATACACCAAACCCTTGGGGTGCCCTGGGTAGGGCATGGTGAGTGGGGGCACGTGGATGGGAGGAAAAAGAATTTACTGCTGTACATGGGCTTGATCTTCCTCACTATGCTAGGCAGGGCTGAGCGACAGGTCCAGAGCCAGACGGCTTGGAGGAGAGCAGGGTTAGAAGTTCTGTTCTCAGGACGAGTTTGAGGGCAGTGTGGCGTTGGCCGGCGGCTTTGGTGATATCAACTCTGCGCATCACCAAATATCCAGTAAATCTCTGAATCCCAGCACCTAGCATTGCGGCAAGCTTTTGTGGACTGTCTCGCTTGTACCACGCTCAATGGAAGGAGGAAGAGGAGAAGTCAAAGCTGGGGACATCTGCCAGGAGAGGATGCTCCACGCTGTCCCCCAAATGATTCTTTGCAAAGCCAGGAACATCCCGTTATCTAAAGCCTCTGCACAATCGCCCAAACCTTTGAGCTGTGTCGTTAGGCCTTGGTGGAGGTGAAGAGAGCGGACCACAAGCTGCAGGCCTGGTTCCCCTGCACAAAGCCCAGGACAAAGCTGTAGCCAACGTGGCGACGTGCCGCTCAGATGCCTCTTCAGGAAAGGACTCGCTGCCCAGCTCAAGGAGTGTGGTCCAGCTGACAGTGCCCAGTCCCTTTGGGTCAGCCTCAGCTTTCCAGCTGGACTCACACTCTTCTTTGAGTGGCTCCTGGCCACCACTTACTTGGGCAGGGGCAGCTGTCACGTCCAGGCCCAGCAAAGTTCAGAGGAGGCAAAGGAGACCATCTCTTCCTGTACCCTCTTTGTAAGAACAAGGAAAACTTTGCCCAACACTTCCCACCCCAACACTCCTCCCCTTTACTGTTGTTGGTAGGAATGGGTCATACGCTGCCTTAGCCCAGAAAACAGAGCCAGAGACAAAGTATGTGTTTGGGTATTTTGCTGGGAAGTATGACTCGAGGAATTGGGAGTGAGGATAGAGGAGCAAAGCAGAGAAGCAGAGAGCACTGTGTAAGGATTTTGAGTTGGCCGCCACTACAAGTGACCAGTTACTATATCCCATGAGACCGCTGAGAGGCCATATGAAATGTGTCTCAGGCCCATAAGTCCTGGGGGAAAAGGGGAAAAGCATCCTTCTGTGGCTTCCACCCTGCATTGGTCAAAGGTCCACCCTAAGGAGTGGTAACTCTTCCTGCACTTCCGGGTTGTTCACACATGGGCATTTCGCGGGTTCCCATATTCTAAGTTGTGGCAGCAACAGGAAGGATCCAGGAAGAGGGTAAAAGGTACACAGTACAGGCTTAAGACACAGCACTGTCAGGTCACACCTGCACCTGTACCTGTACCTGAACTTGGTCAAGGACTGTGCAGCAATTGGGTCATTGCAGCAATGGATGGAATATAAACTAGGTGTGGCCAAGAGGATTTGAAGACATGCACGTGGGCATCCAGTAGACGTGCTCATCCCTAAAAGGGTCACTGGCAAGGGGAACGAGGTTGCTGTGATTGATTTAAATTAATCATTTGTAGTGGAATGGATGCTGAAGTTTCCACCAGAATGCCTGCTCAGAGAGGATGTCCTTAACACCCCTCTCTTAAGGACCCCAGTTACTCCCATCACCCCATTCATTCTCTTGGTGACACCCACTACAACAAGTAATCAGCCTATGTGGGGGCTACTGCGGATTGACTGGCTTGGTATTCACCCTTCCCCACCCCAACCTAGCATGCAAAGGCCAGAAAGCTAAAACCTACCCTGCCCTGATTCCCCTTCTGCTTGGTCATGGTTTAAATCCCTCCAATCGGGCAGAGTGACTTTGCTAGTGCAGGTGATGGCAGGGGTGGCATAATTCCAGAGCCGTGCTTTTATAAACACCTAAATCCCATCATGATTAAGTTACCTGAACTCGTCTGGATCTAAACCTTGAACAGGATATCTTATTTACTTGTTAGCTTGCTCATTATTATCTGTCTCTTCCCACTTAGTTTAAGCTCCTTGATACCAGGCACTTGTCTGTTTTTCTTCAGTGTACCCACCGAGCCTAGCGCGGTGCCTGGTACATAGGAAGGGCTCAAGAATGATTTGTTGGATGGATGGATGGATGGATAGATGGACGGATGCATGGATGGATGGATGGATGGATGGATGGATGCATGGATGGATGCATGGATGGATGCATGGATGGATGGATGGATGGTTGTGGGAAGACCATTCCAGGTGGAAGAGGAGGAAGTAGTGGGCCGTAAGGCTCATTTTCCCAACCTGTAAACTTTGTAATGCCCCAGGTCCAAGTCCTCACAGCTCCTCTCTACTCACCCTCGCTTCCTAGGTGAGCTCATCCAGTGTCATCAGTTTAACTTCATATCTCCAGGCATGACCTCTCCCTTGAACTTCTGACTCACATCCAATTACTACCAAACACTTCCGCTCCGTAACATACCCAAAACAGAATCTTCATTTTTCTAAATCTTCTCCTCCCACAGACTTCCCTGTCTCAGGAAATGACAACTCCATTCTTGCAGTTGCTTGGGCCAAAAACCTGGGAGTCGCCCCGATGCCTCTTACTCTCACACATTTCTCATTCAATTCTTCAGCCAATCCCCGGGGCTCTACAAAGTGTATAGAAACCCACATTTCTCCCCACCTCCACCTCCCTGATCTAAGATACCATCATCTTTCAATTGGATTATTGCAGTAATCTTCTATATCAGATGCTTCCGGTAACCCATGTGACATTTCTCTTGGCCACCTCTGACTTCAGCTCCAGCTGCAGAAGACAGTTGTGTGTGAGCTCAACTGATCTTGTGCCAATAGTGTCTTGCCTCAAGTGTGCCTCTCGTGTCCATTTGCTTTCTGCCCTGGACTTCAATGCCATTGGAGCCCTCTTCACTCCAGCACAAGATTCTTCTTGTGCTGACGGCCTGTCACCTCACGTGTGAGCTGCATATCTCTTTGCTTTCTGCCCCCTCAAACCTCAATGCTATAGGAGCCTGCTCTACCCATGCACCCAGAAGTGCAGAGTTAACACCCCGGGGGCAACCCTCTACCAGTGGGGGACAGGACAGCTAGATAAATGTTCCTGCTGCCCATCCTTCAGGTGGATGATTCTGTGAAACTGTCTGTGCACTTTTCAAGGATGGTAAACTAAAGCTGTTGCCCACAGCAGCGACATTGATAATGAACCCTTATGTTGGCTTTTTCTCCTTTCCTGTCTCGTTGTCCCCACTCCCTCATGCCTGTTCCTTGGGTTATCTCTCAGAAAAGCTGTGTACACATAAGTCCTTGTCTTAGGCTCTGCTTTCAAGGGAACCCAAGCTAAAATACCTTTTCAATTTGTTTGCCTTGCTACCCAGCAGCAGACTGATCCTTTTTTTTTTTTTTGGTGAGGAAGATTAGCCCTGAGCTAACATCTGTGCCAATCTTCCTCTATTTTATATGTGAGTTGCTGCCATGGCATGGCTGATGAGTGGTGTAGGTCCGTGCCCAGGAGCCGAACCCGTGAACGCAGGCTGCCAAAGTGGAGCATGCAGAACTTTAACCACTACACCACGGGGCTGGCCCCTGGACTGATCCTTTTAAAACACGTCTGATCATGTCCCTCTTAGCTGAAAACCCTCTGGTGACTCCCATTTCTCCTAAAGGAAAAGCCAAAATCCTGACAATGGCTGATAAGGCCTGACAGAACCTGCCCCTCCTGCTAGTTCCTCTCTGTCATCATCTCCTGCTAGTCTCCCCCTTTGCTCTGCTAGAGTTCTTTGCTCCACTACAGTTCTTCAAAGAACCCAGCACACTCTTGCCTCAGGGCCTTTGCACTGGCTATTCCTACTCCCTGAAATGCTCTTCCTCCAGACATTTCCAAGCATGCTTCTTCACTTCCTTCAGGACTCTTCTCAAAACACCTCTCAGAGAGGACTTTCTATGTAAAATAGCAAGCTCCACCTCTCCTGGTGTTCCCTGGCCCCTCACACTGCTTTAAATTTTTCATAGCCCTGATCACCAATATCATAAATTGTCTTTTTTTTGGTGTATTTTCTGTCTCCCCTCACTTAAATGTAATCTCCAGGAGGACGGGGCTCAAGGACTTGATTGTTTTTTTCACTACAGAACCTAGAACAATGCTTGACAAGTAGTAAGTGCTCAGTAAATATTTGTTGGATGAAGCAAATAAATAAATAAAGAGTGTGTCGGGATCAGAGTGTGGGGAACTTGAACCCCCGTTCTTGGGTCTGGCAGTGGGTGTGGTGGCAGCTCTTAGCTGTGAGGGGCCCTGGAGGCTGGCAGCAGGATGCCTCTGCTGGGAATCCACCCAAGGCTTTGCCCTCTAAGGCTGCTCCTGGGTGATGATCTCTTTGGGGGCCTATGCTCTGATATTTGTCTCAAGGAGTCTCAGGGAAAACCTCAAGGACCTCAGAGCATTTAGAAAAATAAAACCTCTGTAAGCCTGGTCTATGCTGATGCTGTGCAGAAGGGAGTTTGTCCCCTTCTGGTCCCTGAGACCTTGGACATCGCCAGCATAGAGTGAACTGAGTCATCTCTGAGTGCTGGGAACCAGCTCAGCAGCCAGCAACTCCTCTGAAAGATGCTGGCAGTCTAGCCAGCGAGATGGTTGGAATCCATGGGGCCTCTGGGAAGGCGCTGTGGGTGGCCTGGGTGGCAGGCACGCTGTGGTCCAAGCCTTCCATTCCCAAGCTCTGTGAACAGTCACCCCTGGTGCCTGCCACATGGCCCAGCCACCAGTACCTGGGGTTAGGGGCCAGGCCAGGCTCATTCTTTCCTTCAGAGGAAGGCAGCCCATTTGCCTTTGCCGAGACCTGGATCCTCCCACGAAGCAAGCAGCACTCCCTGTGAGCACAGGAGCCACAGCCCCAAGTGGCAGGGGAAGGCAGCCCCTCTCTGATGGGGTTGCCTGAGCCGGGCCCTCCCGGCTTCCTCAGGGCCCCTGGCTCTGCAGGCAGTCAGAAGTGGGAGCTGCATCCCGGGACTGAAGAGGTTAACGTGCATCTGCCTCCGAATGTTAATGTGTCTAGGTGATGTCAGTGGGAGCCAGGGAAGGAGCCAGTGGGGAGAGCAGTGGGGCTTGGAGGCAGCAGAGGCTGCCAGGCTGCCGAGGAAGACCCCCTTCCAGACTGCGGGGCTCGGGCTCCGGGACAAGCCGTGGGCGCTGGAGGCTGCCGCAGCCTGCGTGGGTGGACCGGCGCGCGGGCGACGGGCAGGGCAGGATGGACCTGGAAGCCTCCCTGCTGCCCACCGGCCCCAATGCCAGCAACACCTCAGATGGCCCGGATAACCTTACCTCGGCCGGTGAGCAGTGTTGGAGGGGAGTCCTCCCTCCTCTGCGCTGGGGATGGGAAATGGGAAGGTGTCACCTCTGAGCCAAACTGCTTGGGAAACTTTATTACAGTTCTTGGGGACAAGATCTGCAGTCTGCTTTGCCTGGAGGGGAAGGGGAGAAGTGGGCGGGGCAGGCAGGGGCAGAAGCGGCAGGAGCAGAGAAGGCAAAGTCACAGTCAGAAGTGGCAAGAGATGGTGGCCAGCCGCCAGGGTGACAGGGGAAGGCTCGCTGATGAGTTTTAAAAATGCTCTGCAGAAAAAATGCCAGGCTGGAAAAGCAAGCAAGAGAAGCTGGAGGATAGTGTGTGGGGAGATGGCTGGAGGCTCGCTCATTCACCCATCCCCTTGGCTTTTTACTCCAACTCCGGTAATGGAGTTGGAACATCCTCACCGCCCCCTGGGAAAGGCCACGGGAAGGGATAACTCACAGAGCCGGGAGGGGATTAACTTTCCTGGTGGATGAGGCTTGAGCTGAGATGCCCTGGAATTCTAGCTTTGAAGGAGAAGGGAAGGAAGGGAAAAGAAGAAAGGTTTGTGAGGAGAAAATTCTCAGGCGGCTGGGCTGCAAACCATAGCTTCAGTCTCTGCTCATTTGGGAAGCCCAGGCTCGGAAGATACAGAGCAAGGAAATCCCTGATAGGAACCCAGGAGGAGCGGGGGCTGCGGGCCTGATGGGCAAAAGCATCCACAAGATAGTCGCCCACAGAGATGCCCAGGAGTCAGTGCACAGCTTCCAAGCAGCAATTTCTAAAATGAAATGATCAGGGCTGCAAATAGGAAAAGAGAAACCACATGTACGCACCCGCTCACGCGCACACACGCACAGACACTTTCAAGTCCTTCTGGCTATTTTGGTGAGGTTTCCTGGTAAAGCCCAGGGACTCACAGAATAATTCTCTGCAGACAGTCGTGGTTCTTGACTGTGTGCCTTCTGAGAAAATGCAAGAGGCAAAGAACTGGGTCCTTGAACTAACAGGTGGTGCAGGAGAATCTGGTGGGACTAACCAGGGAACCAGTGGAGGAGGGCAAGGGGACAGGATTAGCAATAGTGTGGGGAGGGAGAATGGCAGGAGAGGGTTCCAGATGAATGGTGGTCCCTGAGCTGAAACGGCAGGGAGGATGAAGAGGTGAGCAAGTGCATCATGGGAGGCTGAGCACCCCAGCAGGATGTCGACCCTTAGAGAGCACAGTCCATGTCAAACGGTTGACATTTGTTCCTCTGTCCCCAGGGCCACCTGCTCACACAGGGAGTGTCTCCTACATCAACATCATCATGCCTTCAGTGTTCGGCACCATCTGCCTACTGGGTATCGTTGGGAACTCCACGGTCATCTTCGCGGTGGTGAAGAAGTCCAAGCTGCACTGGTGCAGCAATGTCCCCGACATCTTCATCATCAACCTCTCGGTGGTGGACCTCCTCTTTCTCCTGGGCATGCCCTTCATGATCCACCAGCTCATGGGCAATGGCGTCTGGCACTTTGGAGAGACCATGTGCACCCTCATCACTGCCATGGACGCCAACAGTCAGTTCACCAGCACCTATATCCTGACTGCCATGGCCATTGACCGCTACCTGGCCACCGTCCACCCCATCTCCTCCACCAAGTTCCGGAAGCCCTCTGTGGCCACCCTGGTGATCTGCCTCCTGTGGGCCCTCTCTTTCATCAGCATCACCCCCGTGTGGCTCTATGCCAGGCTGATCCCCTTCCCAGGGGGCACAGTGGGCTGCGGGATCCGCCTGCCCAACCCGGACACTGACATCTACTGGTTCACCCTATACCAGTTTTTCCTGGCCTTTGCCTTGCCCTTCGTTGTCATCACGGCCGCGTATGTGAGGATCCTGCAGCGCATGACATCCTCCGTGGCCCCTGCCTCGCAACGCAGCACCCGGCTGCGGACAAAGAGGGTGACCCGCACAGCGATCGCCATCTGCCTGGTCTTCTTTGTGTGCTGGGCGCCCTACTACGTGCTACAGCTGACCCAGCTGTCCATCAGTCGCCCGACGCTCACCTTCGTCTACCTGTACAATGCGGCCATCAGCTTGGGCTATGCCAACAGCTGCCTCAACCCCTTCGTGTACATCGTGCTCTGTGAGACCTTCCGCAAGCGCCTGGTCCTGTCAGTGAAGCCTGCAGCCCAGGGGCAGCCTCGAGCCGTCAGCAATGCCCAGACAGCCGATGAGGAGAGGACAGAAAGCAAGGGCCCCTAACGCTTCCCCTGTCACCCTGGGCACCTCCAAGTCAGGACACCACAGCAGACCATGGGAAGAGATGCTGAGAAAAACCCAAGACAGCTCTGGGAGAATGCAGAGAGGCTGGGCGGTGAGGGGCTTTTGCAACTAGAAACATTCCACAGGGCCCACCAATTGCTGGGGAGGCTCGGAGCCAGGTGTAGGGGCTTCATACATCAAAAATCCCTTGGGAGAGCAGGATGAGACCTTCGAGTTGAAGAGAAACTGAGCAAGAAAAATATTTTGGTTTAAATGTTCAATGGAGCCCTACATCTGCTAGCTCCCAAATGACTTTTTCCCAAGAGAAGAGGTGGAAGGCTTCTGGCCGGGTTTATTTAAAATCAGGCAGGGCCTGGGTGTGGGCAGTGGGGCCATATGGCACAGGGCCCTGGGGAGATGGGAAAGGTCGTATGGCCTCGGCTCTTTCCCATGTCCCATTAGTGATGGAGGGCAGCCTTTCTCCCAAGCTGGAGGATGATGAAAAATGAAGCATGCCATCTCTCTGTGTTCCAGCATCCTGTGTTGATTTCCCTTTGTCTCTGGGGGATGCCTGTTTATTTTGGGGGAGTGGGGCTCTGAGCCCATAGGAGTAAAAGCCCCATTTGCTAGGAGATCCACTTATTGAGAATGACAAACCTACCTGAGGTGGGTGTGGGTGTGGGTTGTGAAATTAAGAAAAACGGGGAGGGGCAAGGGAGCTTTTGCAGCTGTGGGGACATTGTTTTCTTGGGGCACATTTGTCGATCACCAGAGCCAGAGTGAGCGCCCACCAGTGTCCTGCACGTGCAGGGGTCATTCTGATGCCTGCTGTGTTGGCTTCATCTTTTGGCTCTAGCCCTTCCTCTCCAAAAGAAAAATGAATAAAGGACAATCTCCACCCACATCTCTCTGGATGCTCCTGCATAATTGCTTGGGCTTGGGGTTGGGGGTTGGGGTGGATGGCAGAAAAGGAAAAGAGGGGTCACCCGGCTGTGGAATCTAGACCCGGGATCAGGCTGCCTTTTAGGAAGCATGAAGCAGGGGATCTGCTTGTCTAAACTCACAGGGAGGATTCAGTGACACAAATGGAATTACTGTGAATTCATTAGATTGCAGTTCTGTGGCTGGGCTTGTTCTCGGGACTCAGCTTCCCGTCTTCTGCTCGAAAGCACTTGGTTGTCACCAATGCTGGCTCCTCAGTCCCCAAGTCCCACCCGCCACCTCCCCCCGCTAAGTCACCGGTCGCAGGGCTGGCTTCTCCTGGCAGCCTGAGCCTGCCTCTTGCTGCTGCTAAGATCTGGTGTGAGCCACGCTGAGCAGGAAGATTACAGATGGGGCCGCTGGGCGGCAGCCAAGGCTGCTGCTTCTCAGCTTCTTCACCGAGAGGGGCCGGGAGCCAGGAGTCCTGCACGAACCGCTCAGCAGACGTTGATGAGCTAGTGGGAGCACACTACCGAGCTCCCGACTTATCCACATGCATCCTTAAAGCAGGTGCATCCACACAGCCTCTTCCTGCAGGTTATTTTCACTGCGGAGTGGCAGCAGGCAGCCTGTTTAGCAAACTTCTGGGCAGCTTCTTTGGGTCCTGGGGAGCTCTTTTTATCATCATCATTAGCAGTATTTCCTGGTTTCTGTTCCACTCCACCCAGCGCTGGGGGAGCAAAGAAGCTGATGGTTAGTTTTCCTAACTCATTAACAGTGGGGTCTCTAGCTGCCACAGGTAAGTTCCAAATCTATTTTGGATGCACATCCAACAAAAGAAAAAAGATTCTTAGGGGAGCCTCGAGGCAACTCCTACCCACTGGTTCCAGAAAAGGAAATTATCCTGCATCTGGTTTGCCTATGAAAGACTTCCCAGGGGGCTATCTCCCTCACCCCTCTTCCCGCTTCAGAGAGGAATCTGGGAGAGGAAACAGGTGAGACAGACTCTTCCAGGAAATGCAAGGGAGCAAGTCAACAGCTCATGGAGGTGGGTGGGCTTAGGACCTGCTGAAGGCCCCAGCAATGCCTAGGCAGGGAACGCCCCCTCTCTCAGCTCTCAACCTCATATTGAAAGCTGAAACTGGGGCCGGCCCCATGACTTAGTGGTTAAGTGAGCGCGCTCCGCTGCTGGCGGCCCGGGTTTGGATCCCGGGCACGCACTGATGCACCGCTTGTCAGGCCATGCTGAGGCTGCGTCCCACATACAGCAACTAGAAGGATGTGCAACTAGAAGAATGTGCAACTATGACATACAGCTGTCTACCCGGTCTTTGGGGAGAAAAAAAAAAAAAAGGAGGAGGATTGGCAATAGATGTTAGCTCAGATGGGGTCTTCCTCAGCAAAAAGAGGAGGATTAGCATGGATGTCAGCTCAGGGCTGATCTTCCTCACAGAAAAAAAAAAAGAAAAGAAAAGAAAGCTGAAACTGAAGCAAGTGGGTTGAGAGAGGAAAGTGAGTGGGCGGTAATGTAAACAAAACTGAAGCATAAGGATTAGGGGAGAGATGAGGTCAGGGAGAACAGGGGATGGAGAGGGGAAGGGGGGCTGGGGACTGTAAGTGGGGTGGGGAACTGTGGCCAACACATCTTTCCCCACCCTGGTCCGGTGGCAACCTGAACACACTTGAGGTGCCCCTGGGTACAAAATAAATGTGTGTGTGTCTGTGTCTGTGTGGGGGGTGGTTGCTGTCAGGACCAAATAAAGGGATTAGCAATGATATTTTTGTTTGCTTTTTCCTGTGTGGGAGATCAAAATTGACCACCCTGAAATATATCTCTTTTACCTTGAATATTTTCTCTGAAAGAAACTTTAACCTTCCCCCAAATATATGCCTAAAAGTGACAGACTGGGAGGGTTCTTGCTGAGCCCATTCTTTTCAAAGTTCTGTTTACCAAAACATTTACTTTTATAAGGGAAATCTCCATTTGTAAAGGTATCTCACTCTCTGTACTGGGAAGAGGGGAAGATGATCTTCTCTCTGGAAACTCTGTTCAGTATGGAAGGAGAGGACTTAAATCTGCATACTCCTGTTTACTGTGCTTTTCTGGTAATGTCCCATAACTGACTCCCCCACCCCCAACATCCTCCTTTGTCTTTAGCTGAAGATAGTATTTAAGATTAGAATCTCTGCCATGTTTTTGAGAAACTCAGTTTCCCTGGTTTCTCCCATGTATACATGTTATTAAACTTGGTATTATTTTCTTCTGCTAACCTGTTTTTTAATTATTTGGCCAGCCAGAAGAACCTCGAGGGAAAGGGTAGAGGGAGATTCTCCCTCTTCCCCAACACCTGCATCACCAGTTTTTATTTTATGTTTTTTATTGTGGTAAAATATACATAACTGAACTCTATACACTTAAAAATAGTCAAGATGGTTTATTTTATATTATGTGTATTTTACCACAATAAAAAGATATATGTAACAAAAAATTTACCATATTAACCATTTTCAGGTGTACAATTCAGTGTTATTACATAATTCACATTGTTGGACAACCATCACCACTGCCCAACTCCAGAATTTTTTCTTCTTCCCAAACTGACACTCTGTACTCATTAAATACTAACTGCCCATTCTCTCCTCCCCCCAGTCCCTGACAACGACCATTCTACTTTCTGTCTCTATGAATTTCACTACTCTAGGTACCTCATATAAGTGGAATCATACAGTATTTGTCCTTTTGTGTCTGACTTATTTTTTTTTGCTGAGGAAGATTCGCCCAGAGCTAACATCTCTTGCCAGTCTTCCCTATTTTGTATGTGGGTCTCTGCCACAGCATGGCTGATGAGTATTGTAGGTCCAATCCTGGGATCCGAACCTGTGAACCTGGGCCACTGAAGAGGAGTGCACTGAACTTAACCACTATGCCACAGGGGTGGCCCCTTTGTCTGACTTATTTTAATTAGCATAATGTTTTCAAGGTTCATCTATGTTGTAGCATGTATCAAAATTTCCTTCCTTTTTAAGGCTGAATAATATTCCATTGTATGTATATACTACCTTTTGTTTATCCATTCATCTGTCAACAGACATTTAGGGCCGGCCCCATGGCTTAGCAGTTAAGTGTGCGCGCTCCGCTGCTGGCAGGCCAGGTTCGTATCCCGGGCGTGCACCGACGCACCGCTTCTCTGGCCATGCTGAGGCCGCGTCCCACATACAGCAACTGGAAGGATGTGCAGCTATGACATACAACTATCTACTGGAGCTTTGGGGGAAAAATAAATAAATAAATAAAATTATAAAAAAACAAAAACAAAAAAACCAGACATTTAGGCTGTTTCTACCTTTTGGCTATTGTGAATAGTGCTGCTATGAACATGGGTGTACAAATATCTGTTTGAGACCTTGCTTTCAATTCTTTTATTTATTTTATTTTATTTTTTTGTGAGGAAGATCAGCCCTGAGCTAACATCTGTGCTAATCCTCCTCTTTTTGCTGAGGAAGACCGGCTCTGAGCTAACATCTATTGCCAATTCTCTTTTTTTTCCCCCAAAGCCCCAGTAGATACTTGTATGTCATAGCTGCACATCCTTCTAGTTGCTGTATGTGGGACGCGGCCTCAGCATGGCCGGAGAAGCGGTGTGTCGGTGTGCGCCTGGGATCTGAACCCAGGCCGCCAGTAGCAGAGCGCACGCACTTAACCGCTAAGCCACGGGGCCAGCCCAATTCTTTTGTGTATATACCCAGAAGTGGAATTGCTGGGTCATATGGCAATTCTACATATAATTTTTTGAGGAACCGCCATACTGTTTTCCACAGTGGCTGTACCATTTTACGTTCCCATTAGGGATGCACAAAGGTTACAATTTCTCCACACCCTTACCCACAATTGTTATTTTATCACCTTTTTTAAAAATAACTCATCCTAATGAGTGTAAAGTGGTCTTAATGTGGTTTTGAATTGCGTTTGCCTAATGATTAGTGATGTTGAGCATCTTTTCATGAGCTTCTCTTCTTTGGTGAAATTTCTGTTCAAATCCTTTGCCCATTTTTAAATTGGGCTCTTTTTTGTGTGTGTGTGTGAGGAAGACTGGCTCTGAGCTAACATCCATTGCCAATCCTCCTCTTTTTGCTGAGGAAGATTAGCTCTGAGCTAACATCCGTGCCCATCTTCTTCTATTTTGTATATAGATGCCGCCATAGCGTGGCCTGATGAGTGGTGCATTGGTCTGCACCTGGGGTTCGCAGGTTCGAAGCAGAGCAGGCGAACTTAACCACTATGCCACAAGGCCGGTCCCGACTGGGCTCTTTTTTTAATATTGTTAGCAATAATATTTTACTCAAATAAAATTGGTTAATAATTGACTCTTTATGTCTTATTACTAAGAAAAAATATATTTTTTTATCCAGGCTCTTCCTTCCTGTTATTCAGTGAGATGCTTGTCTTTTCTTTTTTTTCATTGAGCATTTGGGTGGAGAACCATGCATCCCCCAAAACCTCTTCCTCCTCCTCCTCTTCCTCCTCCTCCTCCTCCCAGGCCTATGATCCGCAATGAGTCAAACTGGTCTAGTAGCTTGAGCTGAGGAGGTCAGAAAAAGCAAGCAATCTTGGAAGATGGTTGGTGAGGCCAGGCCAAACTTAATTTTACAATTAGCAATGCCTCGCTAATTATACCTACATTCTGAGACTGTGGAGATGAGGGGTGGTGGTCATGGTAACGGGAGAGGGGAGGTGATTCCCCTTTGAGGTGGGATTTCTGTTTGAACAGTGATGGACAAGCTGCTCTGAGTGTCCCGGCCTCAGGTCCAACTCTCAGAGGACAACCAGGGAAAGAACTTTCCAGATGGTCAGAGATGGGACAGAGAAGCTGCTCACTTAATTATCTGCAAAGCTATCTCCTCCATTAGTGATGAGTAGTGGTGATTTCAGGCTACACAGAAGGGCAACATCCTTTGTTAAAAGACAAAAAAGAATAACATTTT